GCTGAAAATTAAGCTCCATTTTTCTATGCTGTTATCATGCCTACTGCCACGGAATAGGAGTTCACTTAATGCATTAGTCAATGAAAATGTATTTCAGGCAGAAAAAAGTAATTAGCAAAATTGTCAACATTTTATCCATGTGTACATAAAGGGGATAATTGACACAGAAATGCAAAAAAAAGTTCATAGTTTACCAATATGGCTATTGATTATATTGCTGACTTCACTATAAAAGGGTATTTTATAGCCAGTTCCTCAAGGTGAATGACAATTACAACTTTCTAACAGCCAGTTTCTTGAAGAACTCTAAACTGTAATAAGTTACTTGAACAAAACACTGTTATCAAGTTTACTTAGGAGGGAGTACTGACTGCCAACAGCATGGGTATATTCCTGCAATTTTGTAAAAGTTCCATGAAATTCATAAGCATTGTGTGCAATACACTCTGCACTAGCTTCATAAAATCTCAGCTACAATTTTATGAGTCTAAGGACTATGCTCCTCAGGATTCTTTTAAGGAATTGAATACTCGTAGTCAATATACCTTTTTCTTAAGCAGAAATGACAAAAGGGAAAAACCACAAAAAAAAAAAAAAAGACATAAGAATTAAGGTATCTAGAAATTCAGAGGGCTGTATTAAGAAAATGTGAAAGAAACAGTTCTAAGGAAAGAGAAACAAGAGAAGTCTTACTTGACTCTACACCCTCACTGCAAAGTGATCTCCTGAGGAACCTCCACCTGTTAAGCTAGAGAAAGAAGACACATAACAAACACCATTTACCAGACTGCTGAGTGGAATTTAAGATTTTGTGGCCTTCAGCACCTGTCTACCTAATTAACCAATGAGAAGATAAATGAAGATGACTTTTCAGCCTGTTTTCTTGTGGCAAGGAACTGCCATGCAGAAATGGAAAGGTCTGTTCCCTGAAAAGAGCTTCTTACTGTCTTTTTTCCATTCTTTTAATTTCTAGGGACTTGTCCTAAGGAAAAAAGTAGAAAATTGAGCATTCACTTAGGGCATGTACCTCTCCAAGCAGAAAATCTATAGCATATCTACCTACTAGTGATCAACAGCTGCAAAGACAACATTTCTGGTCCTTACCATTCCATGTCTTGTAGACTTAAGCTCCAAAGTATTTTTAGTAGTAACACACCAGAACTATTGAATAGCAGAAAAACAATTATGCTTTAGTACAGGATCAACATACACTGTATCATACCTTCCTAGGAGGCATCACAGAGGCAAGGCTGTCACAAAACACAGGCACTACTAGTATTTTATTTGAGATTACAGGAAATTAGAAAGTTTGAAGGCAGATATGGAACAGCCACACATGCCCCCCTCCCCTTACTTTCAGCTACTGCAGCCTGAATGTTATGAGAGGTCCAAAAGCAACGAAAACCAAAATGTTCTGAGCAGCATCAAGCACATGGGCCCATTTGTACCAGAAGTACAATTACCAGGAGACTTCAGGTTCATATTAATTTTTATTTTCATATATGTACAACTTAAGAAATGAATCTCAGTTTGAAAAAGTTCAAAAGTTATCGTTCAATAACACAATGTAGACATACCTTTGAGGCAGCAAATGTTATTCCTATTAAGGCTCTTATGAAAGGATGGATATCATGCAAATGCAGTTACAAATTACATTTCAATATGCAAACCAAGTTCAACTTTAACTCTTTCAGAAAAAAGAACATATCAAACATTAGAGTAACTGTGACCCACCAAAGCATTTACATACATGCTTGAAGCCAAGTACACGGACTAGATAAACTTAAGCAAAATGTAACAACTGTCAAGCTGTCTTAACCAGCTCAGATCTAGTCAGTGATCAATCCCTTCCAACGACCAGTGCCAACATCTGCACCAACCATGTCATTGTACATCACAGAACCCCTGCTGACTGCCACACTCTGTATGCTCCTCCAGCCTGTAAGGCCCACATTAGCCTTTGGCATTCATTTGTGATCACTCAGAGTACTTAACTCCTCCACTGAACCTGGGCAAGAGGCACGCACAGATTGCCTGTGTCACAGAAACCATGAGTTATGTCCATCAGGCATGTAGAAAGGTTCTGATTGGTGTCCCTGTACTCTACCCCTTACTTATGATCTCAAAGAGTGAAAGCTGGATTTTATTTAAACCGTAACCAGTATCAGCACTGAATCAAACAAGTAATGCTAAACTACAAGAAAAAATTCTTACTTAATATTTCAGTATAATAATGCTACTTGTGCAAACAGTATCTTCTAATACTACCCACCAGGGAGAATGCTTCACTCATTCTCTGTGTCATTATAATAAATTGACAAGAAATACAATGAAGATGGTCAGCTGTGTGACTTCGTTATCATCACTAATATAACCCCCAAAAGGACTGATAAATCAAGGTGATAGATATAAGAAAAGAACACAACTGTTGTGACCTCTCCCAGGATGTAACCTGCACTGCCTGACTTGTGAAAGGTGCTAGCTCACTACTTGCTTCTTCTTCAAGCTAACACAAATCTCAGTTGTCTACTCAAAAGGAAATAGTTTTCAAAATTTTATATCTAATTTTTTGGCAACTATCAAGTGCCCAAAGGCCCAGACTTTTCAGTTTTGCATCACATTACATTCAGTGCTTACAAATCTCATATAAACAGTATTCCTCACCTAAGAAAATAGTAGTTAAAAGTAGAAAGACTCCTTTATTTCAGTCCATCTAATTTTGAGTCACAGCAGCACATCATTTAGACACTGCTAGGCACATACCATGTGTACATGTACAACTGGAAGAATGAAAAAGGAAAAGAAAGATCCATTTTACTTTAATCCTGACCAGCAGCTGTTAACAATTTTCTTTAGTTCTCACTGTGGGACATGATGGATGGGAAGACTCAATATGCTGAGGAACTGCTATATAGGTACAAGTGGTCTCAAGGATTGTTGTTCAACAGCACATTCAGTTTAACTAGGAACTACAAACCATAACAGATAACAGGGAGTTCCTGGGAGCATCTATCATCCTTCAGAGACGCTGTCTGATCAAGAGGATAGGATCTGGAAGAACAACCACATGATCTCTTGCTATATAGCTAGTATATTATGTCATTGAAGTAGAGAAGTAAACATTAACTGAAGTGGTAACTCGAACCAAGAAATTGGCATAAAGAACAAGATATTACTATTTTAAGACTTTCCATACATTTGCAACACAGAGAAAGTGGATTCACAAAAACATGCAAGTTAAACAATGCTAAGCTACAATAAACAAAACCAGAATACACTTATTTCAAGACTTAACATTACAATATTCACCCGATGCTAAATAGGAGCACTGCAATAAGGTCTAGGCCTAGCCATGTAATTCCATTTAAAAAAAAAAAAAAAACAAAACACACAAATCAACTGGCTCTTCCAGCCTTTTCTTCCATCCTCTTTTTACATTTTTTTATAATTTCAGGCCATAAGCTTACTGAGTGATAGGGGAGCCAAATGGCAAATGCAAATAAGGCATCTTCCTCTATTAATAGCAATGCTCCAGGGATTTGTGATTGCACATCTATGTAGCTGCACAGTCTTTTTCAAGCCCATAATTACATGGGATGTCCTTCTCCCAAGGATAAAAGCAGGATGTCAACTACTTCAATACCAAAAATACTATTTGAAAAAATATCCCTCTTTTCTGAGCAGACCTATCCCATCAGGGTTGGATACTAATTTCAAAGCACGAATTGACACCCATCACTAACCTGTCTGAAAGTTGTGCCCATCACTATTAGATGTAGCTCTCAACTTCTCAGCTGAATCTCAAAACCTCAGAAGAATAACCTTTTTTGTTTTCACACAAGTCTTACAAATACAAGCCCAAGGAAATAACTCGGTCCCCAATCCAAAATATAAAATCAAGTTATTAGTCTTTCAAAATACTCAAAAAAGTCATCACACCCATTTTTTTTCCCCTCAAAGTTTAGACACAGACTTATCAAGAAAGGCTGGAAATTACTCATCAAGCTTACAGAGATTAATCCCAGGCCACTTCTGAATTTTACAAATCCAGAAGCAGGTACCCAATGCAAAGCATAAACTACAAAAAACTTTAAAGCCTTTTTATTTCCACCTCAAAACACCTCAAACCACAGAAGGAAGCAAACTGTACCAGAAGAAATTTATAAGTAGTCTTCAAGGGAAGTACCATGTAAAGCACACTGCATTAATCTAGACTTGACATTATGAGGGCATGTCTCACTGTAGCAAGGTCCATACTAAACACCAGATCAGAGACAGAAGATTAAAGTAAAACATTAGATGTCACAGTTGCTCTTCTACTGATCTGGGAAAGGCAGACACTCCAAGGTGAGCAGAAACTATGAACCTGCTTAATAAAGGCCATTCTTGCAAAGTCAAAAAAAGAGTCAGACATCCAACACTTCCAACCTTTCATTAAAATAGAAAAACTAAAAAGGAGCACTCCATAACATATCCCCATTGCTTCTGACTGACATGTTGAATCAAAGGTAAAAGCAAAAAGTTAGCAGTGATAATTAGACCAACAAAGATCTTCCAGCACAAGGCAGCACAGCTGAGCAATTAGATTAATTATTTTGTTTGTTACTTAAAAAACAAAGCTGTCAGTTGCCCACTTCAGTTTATTAGGCATAGAAAAGTTTTCACCCACAGGTCATTCTGAAAAACACCTCACTCTGTTCAAGCATGTAGGAAGCCCAGCAGAAACCACTGATAAAGAAAGTAAAATTAAAACATTAAGTATTTCCTGGCTTTCCTTTCAGACATTTCACAGAAAAATGTCAATTTAATGCTGTCAGCAAACAAGATTGTCAGTCTAATTAGATTTTTGTTTTTCTGTCATGCTCCTGATCCTAAGTACTCCTCTGAAAAAAAATCTGATCAATGATGAAGGCACAATTATACAAACCTTAACATTCACTCTAAATGTAGCTATGCAGGAAAGGGAAAGGTAGGGAAAACAAAGCTGCAGTATATTTTTCTTCAAATAATTAAGTCAGTTTATTTTCCAACAGCCATATAAATTTAAAATACGAAACAACAATAATACAGCTATAGAATCTAGGATTTCTTTCAAAGCAGCAGCATATAAAACATATAAAAGCTAAAACCTCAGCACAAGCTTCAAAAAAACAAGGACTGAGTGAATTTGCCAAAGACATGAAACTCACAAAATACAGTACACAAAAATACTGGAATGCATAAGATATAAAGCTACACATTTTAGATAAAGAAAGACATTGTAACGTATACAAAATTTGCAAAATTAACCATGGGATTTGGGGGAGAGTACCATGAATACAAAGAAGTTGGCAAGTAATACTTGTAGATGGAGAGAAGAAAGTGGCAGTTTTATATTTAGCATTCAGTTTTCAGGTTCACGACTTCACTTTCTTAGCATCTTTTTTTCCAGAGTTCTCAGTAGCCAAATCTGCTTTTCTTTTCTGTGACTAAAAATGGGAAAAAAAAAAATTATACATTCAATTACATACTGGTATTAAAAAAAAAAAAAAAATAATTGAAGTACACAACTAATTATTCAAGAAGAAGGTAAGTGACCCTAACATAATATAAAGTTCAGTTTGGCTTTGTAGGATGTAGAAAGGATAAAAAAAATCCCTGATTTAGACACAATTCTGCTACCCTTTTTATCTTTTTGAAATCATTACATGGCCTCATTGGTACAGAATACCATGAACTGGATGAAAAGATCAGGACCTGGACTTATATGGAAGTCTGTTATGAAGATGACAACTCTTAAAAATAAAAGAAGCACTTCTTATCATCTCTTCTTCCAGGGGCTACTATGTAGGGGAGAAATAATCTGAGATTAAATTAAAGCAAATTTATGATATAAATATGCAGGTAGATGGATGCCAGTGCTACATCATCTCAAAATGAGTCTTTCCTCTGCTACTTAAACAAAAGACTCTTTTCAACAAAAAAAAGCCCCAAAATGTTATGAATTGGGAATACCTCCATAAAATCTAGGAGACCTGTAAATAGACAAATATCTCAGTTTAATCCCCCAACTAATGGTCTATATTAAAACAATCAGGGGCTGCAGTTATTTTTCATTTTCTAAGACAGTATAATTGAATTCTGCCCCACTAGAAGTAAAGTAAGTGCTGCTAAACATACTGCTGTAACTTTGGCTCCTCTTTTCTTCTTTTCAGCTCTCTCTTTTTCCTCAATTTCCATATTTTCTTTTTCTATTAATGATATGAGAGTATTGCAGCGTCTCTGAAACTCCTAAGGAAACAGAAAACATCAAATTCTCTCAATTATACAAATTCTTTCATTTACATATGTTCAAAAATCTTTAGTTCCAAAATAATTGTTTTCCAAAAACATTCAATATTCTTGTACTAGTAAGCTTAGCTTAGCTATTGTTCATCTGTCTTTACCTTAGTGTAACTTCTTTATAAATAACAAGACTTACTGATATATTCAAATTCCTGACAAGGAATTTTCAGGACTGTCTGTATCTTCCACACTGGCACCCCAAAAGACTGATCTGATCTTTCCTCTTGTTTAGATGAAGCAAATTACAGCCTGCCAGCCTATTATGCTACATTTTAGGAAACAAGATCTTCAAGTGTTATCTTTATAGCAGAAAGAAAAGGAATCAAAGCTACCTTAGGCAATACTTTCCTGTAGCACAGACTTTTTTTTTTTGTGCTAAGACAGTGTAGAGCTCCAAACTGGCAAGAACCTACATGAGGAAAAGTTCTTCACCATGAGAGTGGTGAGACCCTGGAATGGGTTGCCCAGGGTGGTGGTTGAGGCCCCATCCCTGGGGGTCTTTAAGGCCAGGCTGGAGGAGGCTCTGGGCAGCCTGATCTAGTGGGAGGTGTCCCTGCTCATGGCAGAGGGGTTGGAACTGGGGGATCCTTGTGGTCCCTTCTAACCCTGACAGATTCTGATCTGTTTTAGCAGAGGACTTTAGAGCCCTAATGGCTCAATGGTTGGACTTGATGATCTTGGAGGTCCCTTCCAACCTAAAGGATTCTATGATTCTACTCAGTCTTAAATCATGAATTCACTGTTGCATTTTTAGTCAAGCAGCACCCAAAAGGTACAGGCTCTAAATGCTTTTAGCATCAAGAATTCCAAGCCATCTGAAAGTGGTCAAGATTAAATGCACTAAGGTGATTTATATTGTTAAAATATATTTCCAATGCAAAAGTAAAACTATCTGCATTGCAAGTAATAAAAGTTGGCTTGGTTACAGAACTCATTTGACTTAAACAGTTTCTTGTATCTCATCTCAAGAAGAGAGATCTCTAACCAAATACAGGATAGTTTTAGTTTCTATTATAATTATTCAGCACATTCTATGTACATTAAGAACAGTGATTCCATGGGCTTTCCTTTCCAACTCAAAGCAGGAAGCTCTCTTCTGAGGAAAAAAAAAAAAAGCTGGAAAAAAAGTGTCTTATCTCTAGTATACCCAGAAGCAATTTTTGAACCACAAGCATAAATCTTAACCTGCAACTAACTGATCTATTTGCAATGAGGTGAGCAGGTGACCTTTCTGCCCCAGAATTAGTCTCTTATTTTCTCAGCATCTGTAACCTGCATACTGCCTCAGCCAGGTTATGTGACTGAAAATGATGCAGCCTGAATGCATGAATGTTCTGAAATAGTCAGGTATATAACTTATCTTTTAAGCATTAACACCCTCAAGCTTAACCATATTCCTTAAGTTCTGTAGTTTCCACTGATTCCTCTCTGAAGGGTGCTCCATGGCCCTGAGCAAAAGCTCTGTAGTTCAGAGTAGACACAAGGAAACCTGTGTACCACATGCATTTTTGTTACCACCAAAACCCCTAAATTTTTCAGGACATTGTTCTTTACAGCTCCATACTGGAAATGTTCCAGTCTCATGCATGTAGTTGCACAAACAGTATTATAAGTAATTTCTTCCACATCCATGTAAAGATAACCCCAAAACTACCAGTACTGGTTCAACCATAAATTAGGGTACCATGTTTGTGCCCTAGAATGCACCAGTCCTGCTGGAGCAAAAATTCATTTCAACCAATAAAACCCCCCAAATTCCACACACACAAGTCTGCAGATAAAAAGGCAAGTCTAAGAAAACTTGAGTGCAAGCCATCCCAACACACAATGCATCCCCAAACACTGAAAAAAAGAGCCTCCATCCCAAAACTTTCCACTCTAGAGATGAACAGAGTGAAAAAAAAGTAAAAGACAGAAGTAGAAAGATAACTGTCAATAGCCAGAAGCCTTTTACATTATTTGATTTCACATACATTGCACTCAAGGCTGAGGAGTGGTAGGTAAACACCTATGACAAGCTGCTCCATAATAACTACCAGCTAGATCTCTAGTGTATGAGGAACTGGCTTGTGTTAAATTCAAGACAAGAATTTAGTCAGAAAGGACTAAGAAATAACCTTCATGTATTTATCTAAGATATAGTGAAAAATCCTCCTCTCTCCTGTGGAGATATACTTGCATAAATACATTTATTGAAGTCTAAAAGTTCATGGTTAGACTTTCCAGATGGACTACTACTCCAGAACATGCCGTGGACAGAAGATGAACTCTGCTTTCTCTGAAGAATCATAGCAGCAGTTGCCCATAAGATGGGACATGCACACAAGTTTCTTCTACACCTACCATCAGGTAGAACCTGAATGATAAATCCTGCACTGAGCTACTGAAATTTCAGTATGGACTGAGCCATTTCATTTTATTACTAGAAAAATACACTGAAGAGTTTAAAATGCCTTGCACCTTCAGAGATGAGATTTTATTCAGTGTGGCCTGTACTTTTCTCTTTAGGATGGAAAGAGATATGTACTTTGTTCACCCCTTCACAGCTATAAAGCCCAGCACTGCAATAAATAAGATGGAAGCACTGAACCATCACCTTTTGCATGACTGAAGGCAGAGATGCTGAATTGGGAGGGGAAAGTAATCCCAAGTTCTGTCAATAGGCCTGGATATTCCTGTCTTTAAAAAGGACTCATTTGTCCTATACTACTTGGGGTTTGCAGAAAAGTAAAGAGAATATGCATTGTTTATGACTTCAGAAAGCAGATACATGATTCATGACTGACATGACATTTTGTGTTCTTCCCACATGGATAGACAAAAGAAAAATAACTATACTTAAAAATGCAAATCTCTGTGCCCAAGTGAAAAAAAAAAAAACACCACCTACAATTTTAGGCACGCTCAATCTCTTTGAAAACTTACATCTTGGGTAAACCATCTGGTTTTGGAATAAATAAACGAAGCAGACGTTTTGTTTTCCTAAAAGAAATCTTCATAAGGAGAAGAAACAGAAATAAGATGGAAGATAAATTAGCTATTTACATGGAATTCAAGAGACATCTAGTGGTTAGTAGAACACTTTTCTCCAAGAGCCTGCTAAGCCCTTTTTAGAATTATGATGCCCTTTATCTCATTTAATATCAGTTTAAGTATAATAAAGGGTAATTTTGAGATTACAAGTGAATTTCAGTATTCTAAGAAGTTTTATCTGTTATCACTTTCCCCAAACTTCCTATTTACCCCTTGATAAAGATTTGCATTTCCACTCAGCAGGTCATTACTCTTGATAACAAGTGACTTTTCAGCATACTTATTCATGAAAGCTACCAAGCTAATACAAAATGGACCCATAGAAATTGGTACTGCCCCAAATGTCAGGCTACTTGAATACACAAAATGTATCAGCAATGGACAGTTATGAACTGCTAAGCCATACCTATCACGACAATTAAAAACACTTCAGAAAACTAAAATTACACTGAAAGTGAAAGATTACTTCAGCTTTGTATTTTCACACTATTCTTTTTCCACTCTGTAACAGCAGAAAATCTAAAACTATTACTGTTAATGGATAGAATTTTAAGAAACAAACATAAGACTCACTATAGTCCCAGTGCCTCCATTTCAGCATTAGACACCACAGGACATATTTCTACACTTTAGCAAATGATTCCTATCCCCCTTAAAAAGAATATAAGGATCTGCAAGAAGGCTTAAATTGAATATTTAACTCTACTTCTGACTCAACCATTCATCAACTAATATTAAATGTCAAGCTGCATTTTTAATTTCTAGTACCCATTTTGATGATTTACGTAAATGGATTCCTCCACAGACAACTTAAAAGAAGCTTTGTAACAGCCTAAATATTGGAAGTTTCTCTCTTTATGAACTTAATTTTGAAATCCAGTATTTCTTCAAACAGATGTTCTCAAGTAAAGCTTGTAATTCCTTTTAATTAAGGGCTAACTGCTGCACTATCCAGAAACACTTTAATTGGTGAAATATCCAGCAGAAATTGTACTGCATAATTATAAGTAACACTGAGAAAAGCAAATATTCCCACCTGCTCAAATACATTTAAAATATCTTATGTTTTATTTATTCTTAGTAAAGTACCCTGAACTCCAAAAGAACATTTTATAAACAACTCCTGAGGCCAGGAAATGAGGACAGTAAAAAATAATGCACTGTGGTTCTGCAATTGCTAGGTTAAACTGCTAAAAAAAAAAATATCCCTATTTGTATATGAGATTGTATTTAATTTACATGACTGTAAAGCTGTTAATCAGAAATTTGCTTACAAGACTAGGGGGACAACTTAAGACAGCTATGTAAGGGACAGTGTGCTCCACTTTTGTATCAGCTCTGACCAATATGGGTTTATATTAAAAAAAATTTAAAGAATTTTTCCAGCTCACACATCACAAGTAAGATGAAGTTATTTCTGACACTATAAAAAAATCCCAAGTGTATTTTTCCCATATAAATATGCTCACATGAAGTATGTGTGTGTCTTAAGGTGCACATACTTACAAATTCTGCTTCTAAGAGTAAGGAGCTAAATCAGGGGGCTTTTGAGCAACAATTCCAGGGCAGAGCTAACAGCTTTTTATCATTCAAATAATCCCATTTTCTGAGGTTGGTACCTATGTAGCTTATTATTTGCAACTACCAAAGCTTCTGTTGGTGTTATCACTTCCCACTTAATGACAAAATTGAAGAAGAATGGCTCTGCTCTTCAAGCAAAGAAAAAGTACATAGCTAAAATACAGAGTACTAGTCTACTTGCTATCAAACTTGCTTATATGCTTTAAGTATGAACAAAATCTTCAGAGAAGTATAGCTAAAAAATAAATAATGTTGTAATACTTTTTCACAATTAAAGTGCATTTTAAACCTTAACTCTTACACAAATCACTAAATTTCCTCATGGTTTTAGAAATTATCAGTAGTAAAAAAGCCCTTTTTTCTCCCAGTATATAATTCAGATGTTTTCAGTCTAATATATTGCCCTATAATTCTGAATATTGCCCCTGATGGTGCTTAAAAAATCATATTTTATAAGACATTGTTGGATAAAACTTTTCATTTGCAATAAAAGTAACAGGGATATTTGTAACCATAGTCTACTCCTGCTGTAATCCCTTTGGGTAACGTGGGACTGCAGCTTGGCAGGTTTTCTGATCTGTTTGTTTCAGCTCTGTGGTGTTGTTTGCTGTACTAAGGGAAAAGGTTATTTTGTTAAAGGAGAAATGAGAGAAAACAAAGTTACTCTTTTCAGGATTTATTTCCTAGACTCCAATATTCTGGGACAAACTCAAATTTCATCTGATGGTGCTTAAAAAAAAGAGGAAATAGATACTTCATGGAGTGATTGAGTCCCTGTAACTGACACATACCATAGCAGTCCTGGATTTGATAAACCAGTCAAATCTGAACTGAGGAGCGTTGCGCACGCACTGCCTCAGCTCCTCGTACACGTTTTCCTTGTCAAAGCCCATCTTGTGTAACATGCATATCAAGAACCTGTCTTCCTCTTCTGTGTAGTTTTTCCCCTTGTTTGTCCCATACTGAATACGCAGCTGATGGAAAGGTGCTTTGTACCTTGCAATCTGAATGCAAAACAGAAATAAGGACTGTTAAACAAGCAGTATTACATCAAGGACTTGTTACACATAGGATATATTGTTGGTACACTGTATACTATATATGCTATTTAGAAAACTAAACCTGCCATCCCCAACCATTCATTTTCTGAAGGAATTTGGAATAAGTCATCTGCAAAAAAAAGAAAAAACCAGCAATGATTACTTTGGCATCAAGGGCTTTCTTGATACTGATCCTCCGCTGAATTCTTGCCTCTCCTCGTTCTATTTGAGCCATAATCCTCTCAATGTCCTGAAGTTCATTACAGCGTTCCCAGAAAACAGCTAAAAACACAAAACAGGATTTGTTAAATAAAATCTTTTCCTCTCTTACTACTTTACTCAGTTGAGTCACCCCAGCAAAAAAAGGAATGCAGTGTGTGGTTCCATTCAATCCTGAAAGATTTGCTAATACCCTCTCTTTTACTATGACAGCCAAGAAAAACTTGCACACACATAATTCAATGTTTTTAAAAATTAACTGTAAGCAAAGGTTTAGTAACAACTGCAACATAGTCCACATTCAACAACTGTAGTCATGTAAAATTCTGAAAAAAAATTACTTTTAAGGATAGATTTCCTAACCATGGTGAAACAAGATAGAGCCTCTAGTCTCACAGTGAAACAGCCACATTTCAGTGTTCATTAACTCTAAGGTCAGAGACTTAGTCTACCTGTTATAAAAACTAGTAATTTGTGGCAGTGACATCTTTTAGCCAATCCAAAATAAGCTAAACACTCTGAAAGGAACTCTTGTGAAGCTCTTTCTTTTTAAGTTCTAGGATGAACATTGCAAATTCAAGTTTTATGAAGGCAATTAGTAAAATTAAACTCATGGATGAAAGAGGAAGAACTCTGTATCAATTGAAGCATAGTGTAGCTATCTAAGACAGAGTCTACTAGCTAAAATAGCAAATATACTTGCAACATAAATGACTAGAAGGCAACTTCATGATTCCATAAGATCATGTTGTCAACCTAAATTAACTATGCCAAGTTCTAAACTTTGACTAAGGAGGGATATAAACAGCTGAAGGCATTTTATGCTGCAAATTTAGCATTTGTAACTGAATTAAGTCTTCTGAGAAGAACCAAATACTTTAAAAAAAAAAATAAATCTTATACACATTTAAATTCTTCATCTTGCAATTTTAAAAGATGTAGCAAAAATCATGGTGATCCCACAGGATTAAGAAACACCTCTCAGACTATCACAAACCTGAATACTCGATGACCTCCTCAGGTGACTTTCCCTCCACCTCACGGGCAATATTGTCTATATCATCACGACCATATTTCTCATTAGCTTTAATAAACTGATTAAAATCTCTTTTATTCCAGTTTGTAAAACCCTGTAAGTAGCAAGAGATCAAAAACATTACCAGGTAGAAAGGAAACATTGTGCAAAATTTTGTCTTATGTATGTATGATGTGCTCCAACTGGCAAAGTCACCTAATTACAGTGGTTAATGGTCTTTCAAGATTTCCATCAGCTTGTACTACCCAGGGTTTATTACTGAGTCATTAAAAGCCTAACGAGTTATTTTTGCGCATGACTCCACAGGCATTAGTAAGACCTTTTTAGTCTTGTTTTTTAAAACTTTTCACTTCATATTTCTCCAAAGAAACAAGCTCAATGACAGGTTACTGTAATTTTACTGAAGTCACCCTTCAGCAGATGCAAGCAACCAGTGTCTTAGGAGTACAGGGTGCACCACTGCATATGTCATTACAACTTCTTAGAGCAGTACAACTACCTAAAGCAAAAACTCCTGCTTGGGACAGTTACAAGCCTTGAACCAGACACACAGTTGGATGAAAGCCTAAGTATGGCAAGAAATGATCCCTAGTCCAAGGAGCTGCAACAAGTGGGAATTCCACAGTACTGTCAAACAGAAAATTTGTTTGGGACTGATTGCTTCAGTACATAACTGAACAACAGTGAAGCAAGATGCAATGCACAAAAACACATTTAAAAGGAACTCTGTCAGTTCTCCAGGTGAATAAGCTTGCTCCACAGTTAAGACAGCATCTTCACAGGAGCACAACATAAACATTCCTTTTTAATCATTAACAGCAGTACTGACACACACCAGCATCAGCATAAATATTTCCTCTGCTATAACGAGATTAAATTAACAGTGAAATAGTGACCTTGAAAGGTTCTTCTCAAGGTACACTACACTCAGATCTTTTACAGAAAATTTTCTGAATCAAAAAACCATATAACTTTGAGACACCCCTTCCTCCTCAATTAACTTCTAGCAAGCCTACTCACCAGGGTAACAACCCAAAAAAAGTCAAGAACTAACACAACTGGGCCAAAACCAATGGATGTGACATGTCTTACACGCCTGTGTCAATGCCATGTATTTCCAGAGGCTTGTCCTCTCTGTTTCAAACCCCTTTTGATAAAAAAAACATGCAAGGTAGATGCATATACAGGAAACCCACTGATTGGATTTCTTCATGTGTTGCTGGGTAGTGCATCTACTGTACAAGTCCTTGCCTCAAAAACATTCCAGACATCCAAGGAAAGAATAGGTGACCAAGATACTAACTTCATCAAGGCCAGGAAAAGTCCCTCAAAACAAAACCAAATCACCACATGTTGTGTACTTTCTTCTTTCTATAACATCAATGTAGCTCTCCTGTGCTTATGTCTCTATTTTACATAATAGAAAAGACAAATACTTCAGCTGGTTTTATTTCACCTGTGTCAGAAGCTTTTCTTTCTCTTCAGTCTCCTCAGCATTCAGAGGCATAGACTCATCTATCTTCTTCTGTTCCTCTTTTTGTACTTGAGCTGCATTTGGGAGGTCAGGATTCCTGGGGACCTAAAATCAGGAGTATCAGTAAGCAGCAGTGCAGTAATACTATTAAAAAGACTGTACACTTCCCTACTAACCTTGGTTTATAATTCATAAGCACATCTTAGATCTCACAGAACTCACAGTCCACATCCATTAAGCATTTGTTGTGACAGAACAAAAAAATCCTAACTCAAACAACCACCCCACCACCCCACACCTTGGTTACCCTGAAGAAACCAAAGCAGAGTAATAAGATTTTCATCATTATCTGTAACACTGCTGCAAAATGAAAAATACTATCCTCCAAGACAAGGTGATGTAACAAATACTGACATTTATCTATGCGTGTTCCTTGTCTCACAAGCTCTTAATGTAAACTTTATCTTCACCTATAAGTCAGAGTCCTAATAACTTTTTCTTTAAGAAATTTCAGTGGAAAATGCTGTAGAACACATGTAAAAAAAAAATTTTACTAAATAATAAAGCACTGATCTGTACAGCTACCAAATGTTTTACCTATATTTGAGTACTATTGCTTCAACACTTCCTCCCAAAAATAGGTCTAGTTTTGTCAAATGGGTGTTACAATTTTCTTATGCCCTGTGCCCACCCTTTCCACACAGGATGACTCTGGTGGTACTGTGAGAGGCAAAGGCTCACTTAGTGTAAGCACAGGTCACCAATTTCAGTGACACTTGTCATTAGCTAAGAATGTGCTCTTATGAAAAACAGTAGATCTCTAGATGAACACAGTGAAATACCAAGTTCTGCCAGCTGTGCACACTGCTAAAGTAAGGACCAGGGAGACAATATTACATAAGGCCTAGCAACATTTTATCTGTCCCTCTCCACACTGACACCTATTTAATATTTGTGACCTTCAAACCATGTATTACAATTTCAGACCACACAGCAGCAAACAAGTCAGTAACCAGTATACAGTAAAGACTCTGTAGACCTTAAATATTCCTGCAGCACAAGGCAAGGGAAGTGAAAAGCTGATTTCAACATCTTGGCTTGGATGGTTTGAGTTAAGACTGACACAAAACTTGGTCACTAGCTAGCTCTCTGTTCAATACCTTCTGATATTGTTTATGGTAGTCTTTAGTTTTAATAATAAACTCTTCAGATGGAAAGTTATACTTCCAAAGCAGAACAAACTTAATCATATTTAACACTTTCAGCACCAGTAAACAGGCATACTAAGTTTTTAAGGAGACAAGTATTAAAGTTCAACCTATCCAGTCCAACAGATTTCATTAACAGGACTGAAGCACTTCTTTTTACATGCATATTGTCAACATTAGCAATTCATCTTTATTTGTTGGAGTATTAATTGAATAATTCTTTAAGTTATTTATTCTTCTTCATTTTGTTCTGTCATCCACACAATTTTTTGCTTCAAACTAGATTCTAAAACATCTTCTGCTTTTTAAAATATATTTTGCTAATATTAATTCTCTTTTTCAACATCAATTTCCTATCCATTCTTTCATATGACAAGTTTATGTTCTCCAAAACATTTTATATGTGATTTCTTCTGGCTGCAACCTGCTGTGAAACAGAGCTTTTTAAAGTGAGTTGCATGAGTGAAGTACAGGATCCATTTGATTTACTCAGCCAATACTGGCACAAGCAATGAAAATCAACATAAAACCAGAATCCATGTACACTGCTTGTCCAGTAGTATCAGCAAGGAAGAGAAAGAAATTCTACCAAGGCACAGTAGGAAAGAAAACCTAAGTCAGTTGTCTGGTTTTCTTTTTGTAATGGTAATACAGCCAGACTTGCCCAAACCTTTATACCCAGCAAAATGCAAGAAAAATTGATATGAAGGCAAGTAACATCAACAGAGTCAAATTCAATATTGTCTTAAGTTACTTTCTGCACAAGACATACAAAAGCTATAATAAAAAACACCCCTGCACCCTAGGAGGTGATCTCATGTTAGGCAAAAATTATTTTCTCACCTTAGACCACCTATCACTTTTTTGAGAAGTGTACAATGCATCAGAACTTTTTTCTATTCTATTTTATTGTTAAGAGCACACCACAAAATACAGACACAGAAACATGAAATTTTTAAAGAAGGAAGGGATTACAGGTTACTTTTTCCTGCTCTGCAGCAGAACAGGGAATAGAGGTTTTGACATTCCCCTCACAGTGAGAAGCACTTTGTGAAAAATAAGACCAGAATGATGTACTTTAGCTGTTGTCTCATTTACTTCATTTAGCCATTGTCAAGGTTGCAGTAAATCTTGAAACAGGAGCACAACTACATTTCACTAATGTGAAGAGGAAAAAAGCATTACCTTATACCCTATAGTCTTACGGTAATACAGAATTTCTTTTTCCAGAAGTTCAAACAACCGTGGTGGGAAAAACTGGAAATCCTGAATATTTGGTTGTTTTGGAGGTCGTGGAGCCTTCAAAAACACACAGACACATTAACATTATATAAGCTTGGTTTCTGTGCAATTAAACTACTATAATTCAATAGCAGTGGCAAGCTATCCCCTGGCAAAGACATTCATTTTATTACCAATATAGGGCGAGAGCAACAGACAGTGTGGGAGAGAAGAGCAAAAGAGCAACATGAAACCCCTTCCACACTCCCCAGCCTCTTACCTTTGGGACTTTTGGTTCACTAACACGTAGAGCTTCTCTGAAATAAGCATCAACGGCGTAATTAGCTTTGCGCTCTCGTTTTGGAGGCTCTATCCATTCCATCATGCTCAGCTACATGCAGGACAGAACAAAAAGATGTTAAAGTACCTGTCTGCTTTCCTAAAGTCACAGCAATGATGACTGATGGGGCACTGCAAAACTGGAACGTATTTTTCCCTGTCAAACCTAATGGTTGTGCTCAATTTGGATACTACAACAGAGCTCAAAATACAAGCTGGGAGTTATAGCTGATTTTAATAGGTATTTAAACAGAAAAGGTATTGCACAAGGCAGTGCAGTGGCATGGACAGATCCTTTTCCAGTATTCTGCTTCAGAGAGCTGAGTATGGTTATGATTCCATCTAATAAAACAATGGAAGGACTGGGGACGTAGGCTGGGAATTCTAGAATACCTTGTGATACGAGTGAATTGCTTCTCCTCTAAATATCACAATGAAGGACCTCTACAGAGGCTACAACATTGACAAAAAAAATCCATTAGCAGTAAATTAATCTTGACTAAATTACTGGAATTAAAGTTATTAAATCATATTTCAAGACTATACTCCATTTAGCAGACTTCTTGCAACGTAATTATCCATGTTAGAAAAAAATCTTACATGTATTTGCATGCACCCCACTATTCTCATTAAATATTTTCCCTAAGTGTTTGTCAAAATTGGCAAGAAATCTGGGTGAGAAGGGCATTTTGTAGTTAAAGAGTTCACATTTGATTCCATACAAGACTTTCAGAGTATCTTGAATATACATCCTGTACAAAACAGATGCAAAGGTAACACTTTGGGACCCTGAGTAACACAGCTCTTTGCCTAGATTATTCTTCTATAATTAGGTAAATCGTTGTACAAACGGTTCACTCTAATGCTTGTGGTTAAAACCTTCATTGTAAAAAACTTAGATTTAAGTTTCACATCTGAAATCATTATCAAGCCTGTTTTTTCCCCTTGGTTATGTGGCAGTAAAATAATACTGACTGCAGCAGTATAGTATAATGCAACGCAGTATTTTTGCTGTAGAAAGGATAAGATTTGACCAATATTATCAAATTTTACTGTGAAGAAAAACAGTAAGGTTGAAAGCTAATTTAACAAAAAATCATAATACAGACACTTCTGCAGAACTAAGTGAATTTTTCTGTAGCTCCTTAATTCTCCAGAATAACCTTTATAGCCATAACATTTCTTGTGTGGTCTTTATGCTTGCACTTCTGAAGTCTTCAAGACTTTAAAAAAAAAAAAAAAAATTACCTTCTGTTTCTCTCTGTAATCTTCACCTTCAAAGTTGTATAAGCTCATCTCTGTGTCCATAGTGAAATTCCGTAAGGAGCTCTCCCCCATTTTCTGCAATCGCTCGTTCATTTCAGCTGTCTAAAAACACAGGAAGATACTTTTAGTTTCACTCAAACTTTTTTACCTTTATTAAACTTTATTAAAAAAAGAACAGTTTTCATCATTATTGAAACATTCTCAGTGTCTTTTTCTGCTTTAAACTTTTACTTACATCTTTCTTATAAGGAGAGATGCCCATAGTGCTTTTCCATTTTGAACAGACTCCAAAACTTTCCATTAAAATAAATTTATTATGCTGGGATGCACCCCTACAACTATACAGCTTAACTTCTAAATTTAAATGAAATTTATGCCCAAGATACTTCTAGGTTCACTCGAACTGTTTTACCTTTCTTAAAAAAACAGTTTTCATCATTATTAAAACATTCTGTGTCTTTTTCTGCTTTAAACTTTTACTTACATCTTTCTTATAAGGAGAGATGCCCATAGTGCTTTTCCATTTTGAACAGACTCCAAAACTTTCCATTAAAATAAATTTATTATGCTGGGATGCACCCCTACAACTATACAGCTTAACTTCTAAATTTAAATGAAATTTATGCCCAGTTCTTTGGAGCTGAAAGGGTAGTTCATTTTTCCACAGAGCTACCTATTCCCTAATAAAGTTCCCTAAAGGTTTTGTGTCTATTAGAATTGTTGGCATAATATTTACATCTTCCTAAAACCCCACGAAATAAACAGAATCTGGTGCACAGTCTGAACTTTAAAAAGAATTAAAGCTCAGTAATTCTACCCCTTAAAAACTTTCATAAGCTTTAAAATTTACAAAAAGTAATAACTGAACATAAAAATAGATGTACATAATCAGATTTAATTTCTATTTTGTGCATATATATTTAGCATTTGACACATTTTGAATTCTGCACAAAACTGTTTTCTAACCTTCTTTTCACCTCTTTCTAAAATTGTGGTTATATCTTCTTCTGTCAGCTCGCTGTCTTTGGAAGCAAACACATGGGTGGCTCCATGGCGGATCATCTGCAGCATTTCATCTTTTGCCAGTTTGTTAGACTGTTGGTCTATGAGCCTCCCTAGAATGAGAAGAAACATGTTGAAAGTTATAATACAAAAATTCTAATAGGACCATGCAAACAGTGGAATTTTTAGTTCACTGGCAGAACAAGAAAGGAAAAATAGAAGAAATGTACAGAAAAAAAAAATGACACTTCACTTGAGCTGAAAACAGAAATTGGGAACTTCAGTGAAAATGTAACTAACAGATTTGGACCAAACCATAATAAAAAATGTGTCACATTCATATAATTCAAATTAAGATGTTTTTAGAAAGTTAGCTGAACTTTCAAGCTCAAAATTTTATTTCAAGATGAAAATTACAAAATATTCAGTGAAAAATGTAACTAACAAATTTGGACCAAGCCATAATAAAAAATGTGTGACATTCATATAATTCAAATTGTTTAAGATGTTATTTTTAGAAAGTTAGCTGAACTTTCAAGCTCAAAATTTTATTTCAAGATGAAAATTACAAAATATTCTGTAACAACCATGAGAAGTACTTAATATTTTTAACAATCACTTCACTGATTTCAACCCAAATCTCTGAATATTTTCCCCAAAATTCTAATTGCTGTCCCAAAATTTCACTTCTCTTCACAGACCCTCAAAATTTTTACTATCAGCCTTTCTGTAGCCCACCCTTTTGGAAATAGAAACAGCCTTCAAAACTTAGCTGGAGAACCCTAGGTTTTGACAAACTACTCTTCCAAGAGCTCCTAAACTAACCCACAAAGCAGGTTTCATGTCCAGTAAATTCATACATGGTAACAAGTACATCTATATAGTTATTTTTATCTGTCATGGAACATGTATTTTTTTCTTTTTTAACATACTGCAAAAACCAAGCAATTTTTGTTCAGCTGCAGTTTGCTTTCCTCATTTAGAGTCTTAGTAGAAGTCTATGCCCACATTATTTAGAAAAACTAGGGGTTTTTTTCCAAAATTTCAGCTGAAGAAATGAGGAAGAGTCTCAGGATGATTTAGCATACTGCTATTATACACAAGGCCTGCTCTCTCTCACACTGTACCTTTGTACAGTTACTTAACCCACATTCTCAGGGACTGAACAATTCTGTTGCAGACAAACATATACAGCAGTTGATACCTTGTTGTATAACTATAGAGTCCAGTCTCAGTTTTATTTCAGCTCTCTCTACAATCCTCTCTTCAACAGTATTATCAGTGATTAGTCGGAACACCCGTACTGGTTTCTTTTGACCAATACGATGCGCACGGTCCTAACAAACATAAATTAAGGAGTGTTCAGCATCAAAATCTCAAGCAATAGACAGTTAACTTCCAGAAACAGCAGACTGAAACTAGCATAGGCTTCTTGGTTCCTTGCTTATCCAAGAGTATGCAAAAACATAAAACCAGCATAGTAATATTTACTTATAATTGGCTATCACACCTTTTAAGTTTGGGTCATTCTATAGTACTAAGTATCTACCTCCTTGTAAATGAAGGTCACTAAATGTCTGTCTAGACTGCAGTTGAGAAAGGGAGACACAACAGTATACAAATACAAACATCTGCAATGCTTTCAAACTGATTCTCTCAGTTGACACAGGTATTTAAAGTTTTGCATCCCTGGCTTGAGCATATTTATTCCATATTAATTCCATGGGCCAAGCCCATGCAGCCACAACTTCAGTACCTGAGCTGTCCCCACCTAGCTCCAGAAAAGGACCAACATGCAGCACACAGAACAGGTACAGTACCCTCAGCTGAGGTTGCATGACTGTACTTATTTGTAACAAAACTTATTTTTTTGCTTTCCAGAAAGCAAAGACATCATCTTAAAAAAAAAAAAGTTAAATTAACTGGCCTTCAATATGTTGGCACCAGCATTTTCTGATTGTCCTTTAAATATGACTTATTAAATCTTTTATTTTCCTGCATAATACTAATTTATTCCTGAAAATCCTACTAAAGCTCACAAATTACATTTAGCTTCCAGGAAGTCAGTCTGCTACTAGTAGTCAACATTTATATGAAAAGGATAAGTTACAGTAAATATCTGATGTGTTTAAGGGTATCAAAAAACCCAACCAAAAATGCAACTAGAGAACAAACACCCCACCCTCCTAATCATGCAAGAAGGATCATGTTTTTATTCCACATGAAAGAGATTATAGACTTCATTTTTTTTTTTTCATATTTGGCACTCAGAAAGAGAAGATTTTGGCTAGTATGTTTAACCCAAAGATAAGGTGGGTTTTCTCCCCTAGCATCACCATCACATAACTTTACACTTATGCAGAAACAAGGTGGGTTGCAACAGCATAAGCTCCCAAAAGGGAAGAATATAAAGCTGCATGTTTTTAATTCTTTGCTATTATTTTGGAAACAGACATCTGTTATTAATTTACTTTTGTCTTCTGGAAAGACAGCATTACAATTAATTCTATGGATAAACAATATTGATACAGTATTTTGACAGAAGTATTCAATTATGAAAATAATTAAGACATTTCCAGAGAAAAAATCTACAGTTTCTTCCATAATTCTGTTCATGCCTTTTTTACTCAATTCCTTAAGAAAAGTAACAGAAAAAGCAAAGTCTGGAAACACTTTTTCAAACGAGAACAACAACTCTAACAAACAAATGTGCATTAAGGAGATAACTCACCATGGCTTGTAGATCTACTTGAGGGTTCCAATCTGAATCATAGAGAATAACCACATCAGCAGTTGCCAAATTAATTCCAAGACCTCCAGCTCTGGTACTCAGCATGAAAATGAATTTACTGCTGTTGGGAGCATTAAATGTGTCTATTGCTTCCTAAAAGAAAATAGGTGGCATTGAAATATCAGACTTTTCAAACAAGCTCTGAATACCTCTGTGGCTTTTTAATGAAATTTCTTGGAAACTTGCAGAATTTTCATACCCTAACTAATTTTCTTTATAGAAGTAAGAAACTGTAGGCTTGCACAGGTGGCAAAATCCATTCTGAGTCCACAAAATATTACCTTTTTTTTCATTTAAGGAAGAAATGTAACCTACTTTACTGTAGGCTTCAAGTAGGAAAAACATTTAACCCCAGCAGCCTTTTCTGACCTGTAGCATTTTTGCTTAGAACAATGAGGTAGCTACTCATGTAAATGTAAATAATGTCTAACAATCTAACATGTAAAACAAAGACATTTCTTGTTCCTATACAACTTTCCCACCTCTCTCTCTTCATGTGGTGTCTGTCCATCAAGCCGGCAGTACTCATACCCACGCCACATGCAATAGTCTTCCAAAATATCCAGCAAGCGAGTCATCTGACTAAAAAGTAGAACTCTAGAACCTGAAGAACAACACAGAAGGTTTTGTCGTGGGTTTTGTTTTCATGTTGATCTTGTTACTGAGCCTACTATAGAGCATGAGTAAGAATTCATGTGAAATATTCTGTACTATACCTAACTTAAGTAAGTCTTCTGGAGTTACTTTTCTAGCACTGATTTAACTTCTCAAGACAAGTTATTTGATAATTTATACAGAAGAAACATACAGCAGAAGAAACAGAACACTTAACATAATTAGCTGATAGCTGGTGTGTACAAACTAATCCTCCCATCAGAAATTTTCTTAAAGATAACAGAAAGAAGGCTCTGCTCCTCCTTTCCTCCTGCTTGTCATATTAGTCTCTCATCATTCCTGTAAGATTTCTCTTCCCTCCATGTGTTAAGACCTACAGAAAAGTGATTTTCAACAAAAACCACTTTTCCCCTAAAAAATGCATTCACTGGAGGAAAACTGAAAGTCCCCACTCTCCATCAGCAGCACTCACCCTGCTCCCGGAGTTTGGCTAGCAGTTTATCCAGCACTAACATCTTCCCACTGTTAGTGATGAGGTGGGTGTCAGTGGTGTAAGGGGGGCCTGGCTCAGCACCATCAAACAGGTAGGGATGGTTACAGCACTTCCGCAGCTGCATCAGAATGTTCAATCTTATCCATCTTCCCAGCTGAATTCAGGATGTCAATATCTTTCATCAGGATCCTTGTATACCTGAAGTTTTACAGGCAATTTTGAACAGTTATCAGGTTTTATTTAATACTTCCAACACGAGTAAAAGCCTGCAATATCCCAATTATTTCTGGATGTGGGAGTTTGTTTTGCTTATATGATAAAGATCTGTATTATGAAACCTGGTGAAAATATCTGACTGATAATAAGGACTTAAGTCCATATCTAACCATGAAAGGCAATTTGAATGACAATGATCTGTCACTTACTGGCTTATCTTATACTTCCATTTTAGGACTATGAAGTGGATTAAAGATGTCAGTTATTTGACTGAAGCTGCTACACTGACCTGACTCCTTTTCTCACATCTCTTCTGGGTATGTGGCTCCTCAAGGTTTTCTTTTCATTTCAGTTCAGACTTTAAACTGCTGCATACATACTTGGATCAAAATAGGATACTTAGTAGGCACATATTCTTTCAAATAAAATTAAGAAAAGGGGAAAATAGTTTTCTTTCTTCCTCTCAACCCTTTTCATTAACCTTCCTGAGCTATTTGTAACTTGTGCATCCCTAAAAAAGCCCCAAAGACAGCTATAAATAGACTTCATCTAAACCTCTTAACATGTAGCTACAAGAAAAAAAGTGTGAAGAGTTGTAGTGTTATCAAAAAAGAATCTTACTTTCATGTAAATAACTTACCATTCCCTCTGCATTTTGCTGAGCCCAAGATAAATTTTTACTTCTTTCTTTGGAGGCAAACTCTTTTCTACTTCAGCTTTTATGCGACGCAATAAAAATGGCTTCAAAACCTACACAAATTAAGAGTTTTCCTACAGATAAATTTATAAAATCGACTGCTTCAAAGTTAACATTCAATTATCTGATACATATTCAGAAGTAATCAATATATACTACTGACATGGTGACTCCTTCAGAAAAATTCTGCCAGTCTGCAAGATAATGTTGTCCACTAACAGGCCAAATTCACACATAAGTATGTAACAGTACATAAAGATTGCCATGTTCATCCCAGTTGTCTTCCCAAGGGCCAAACCCATAAGCTTATAAAATCTACTACCTTTTAGCAGAAGCTCTATTTCATTTCCACTAGTAGCATACACAAAATACACCAGTATTTCAAAGAATAACAATGCTGTACTTTCTTCTGATTTGTTACTGTACAATGAAAAATGTCTTTTATCTCACGCACAGTAAAACAAAAGGTAAAGGCATGCCTTTACTTCAACTAGCATGATACTATTCATAGTGATAAACGGTCTCAAAAGCATCTCAAAATTCTTTATTTTCATATTGTATGTATAGATTTTGTCTGCTTCCAAGAGCAAATTTAGAAAAAGCAGTATCTATAATAGTAATTTCCAATATTGAATACAGGAAAATTCTGCTGGGCATTCCAAAATAAATACCTTCACACTCATCTTCTCAGCTTCACGATGAAGGGGGAAATAATCACATTTTCTTTTTTACCCTCTGTATGCTAAGGATGACACATGATTACAGCTTTAATTACTTACAGCATGAAGTCTTTCTACAAGTTTCTGATCACCAAGACAATTTTTAGTGTCGAACCATGAGTCAAAATCCTGTGGTGAGAAACAGCACAATGGGTATGAACAGTTTTATCATCTGTAGTTTTAACAGACATATTGAATCCTTCACTCCAGCTGAGACTGACATAAATCTTGAAACAAATGACTTCTATGAGTGAAAGAAAAATCAGGCTGCAATTCTGTGCCAGCTCCTCAGCAGGTTATAACACTCAACTGAGTAACTTCACAGAAAAAAAAGTTACTCTGCTTAATTTACAATATTTTCCATGCTCATCACTGCAGTGTCCAAGTTCTTCCCCTTAGGGCTTGTGTAGTGATAGGGCACGAACATAAAGAAGAAATTGGAATCCTTAAGTAAATGAGATGGACAGCAGAGCAAAACCAATGGAAGTAAGCAACAGAAATACAAGGAATCATTAACAGTAGAAGAGGAGAAAAATTACTCAAATTCTAAATGAAAAAAAAGCTTGCACCTATTTGGATGCTTCAGATTATTCATTCTGCATTGCTTTCCCTTTTTTTTTTCCTATTTTGCATAATACTTGAACTACTTAAAATATTACATTTGCTATTACTGACCTGAGGCTTTACCTGCACTACAGAACACACCATTTTAACTAGAGGAAAAAAAATAGTCTACAGCTAGGTAAGCCACAAAGCTTCTGCTGAATCCAGGTCTCCCAATTCATACGTCTCTTACTAGGCTGGTCATTCTCTTCTGCAGATAGCCTGGGAATCAAAATAACAAGACTGGATTTCCAAACCTCAACTTACATCTGCAGAATTGAAGACATCAGGTAAAAGAAAATTGAGTAATGCCCACAGCTCATGGAGGTTATTCTGTAAAGGAGTTCCTGTTAGCAGTAATCGATTTGTTGTCTTGAACTCACGCACAATCTCTGACAGCTAGAAACACAACAAATAGTTATCATCATCATGTACATGGAAGTATAACGATTTTTCATCAGTTTCTGAAACTTGAAACAATGACAACTAAATTCAAAGACAGTGAGCTACCCATGCTATTCATGTTTACCACCCTCTATCTTACAGCTTATGGCTTTAAAAAACACCACACCTAATGCTTAATCTGCTAAAGTCAGATGGAATCTTGTGCCAAACTATCTTCAGAGTATCAAAGAATTCTGAGTTTACCTTAGACTTCTCATTCTTTATTCTGTGGGCTTCATCAATTACGAGGTACCTCCAGTTAAATTTTTTGAAGACAGATTTCTCTTTGATTACCATTTCATATGATGTAACACAAACATCCCATTCACCAGGCATCATAACATCACGGATAAAAGCAGCCTAAAGCAGAACAAGTGAATTAGCACACTATTTATAAATATGAACAATTTATATGCAATTCAGTGAGACCCATCTCTGCCAGCAGTACTGATGTGCAAAGGTACTACACAAAAGGATCATGTAAAGCATTGTTTCAGTAACTGAAAGTTCCTCTGACAAAAGCCTTCAATCTTTTGCACTTTAGGCACAGACAGATCATCAGCTAGTGAAGAAATCTTTCCTAACATCAGACCTAACCTTCTCCTGGAACAATTTCAGGCCTGGAGATCTGCAGGGGTTTGTTATGACCCAAGTGCAGAACATAGCACTTTGCCTTGTTGAATCTCATACAGCTGATGTTAGACCATTGATCCAGCCTGTCCAGATCCCCCTGTTGAGCCTCCCCACTCTCAAGCAGTAACAGGCAGCCATGCAATCCATAGGAGGGGCCAAAGAATTCATAGGAACATCCAGCTCCTTGATCCCCTTCAAGTTAGAAAACGACCCTGTATCTATTTTAAGGCCTTCACTATGGAAGATTAAAAGCCCTACAACAGCATCTTAGTTGCAAGGCAAGACAGAGACATAAAACAAGTAAAGAGTAGGAGAAGTCACTTAAAGTGAGGAAAGTACTAACAAAGTGAGGACTATAAAGGAAAATTAATAAACACTGTCACAATGTCAGCACAGAAGAGATCAAGAAGATGTATAGCAGGTGCAACAAAAAAATCAAAGAGGAAGACAACAGAAGAAGAGGTAAGTCAGACAGCTCTATTTCTATCCCAGTCAATTCACCTACTCACGTGCACTTTTAACTCAGTTACAAGCATAACATTTGGCATCTTCAACACCACTAAAGATTACTAAAAACCACTGTAACTAAGGGAGTAGCTTGGGGAGCATTCCACATAGCCAAATGCTCATTTCTGACCAATAACACACACCCCCCTTTGAGATGCAGGGCACTTACTCTGGCATCTTTATCTCCGATGAGGCAGACGGCGCGTAACGACGGAACCCAGCGTTTGAATTCATTCATCCAGTTGTGCAGGGTGGATTTTGGCACCAGGACCATGTGTGGCCCAGGGATGTTTCGGTAATGCTTCAGGTAGCCTAACAATGCTATTGTTTGCAGAGTCTTACCAAGACCCTGCATTGACAGAGAGGAGGGGGAAAGAAACCTGCTGAAATGAAATAGCAGATGGAAAGTTTCATACAATTTGCCTACTCTATAATTCTGCCACTTAAGTTGTTTCAAGCAAACTGCAGCACAAATGTTTGCAATGCAATTTTTCTGGGACAACAATACCAGTTGTGACAAATCTAGCTGTTGTATATGCAGTAGTAAACAACATTCTGCATTAAATACAATAAGCACTTTAATGTTGAATTTTGCTCAATAATTACCCCAAAAATTCCAAAAGATTACTGCTTACCATTTCATCTGCCAGAATGCCATTAACACCATTTTCATACAATGAGATCATCCAGTTCAAACCTCTAACCTGATAATCTCTTAGTGTTCCTCCTTTCACATCTGTAAATGTAAGATTCCTCTAAGTAGAAAAATACTAATTCTAAGTGGAAAATTTTAATTGCGATCTGTTCAGATTTTAATTACATCAAGGCAATCAGAAGAGTGTCAATACAATACTTACATGAAGGAGACTCCTCAAATCGAATACACACATTGGATGTTTTTCTGCTCTCTGACAACAGCTCTTCATCTTCCTCTTGTTCCGTGCGTCTGTGACGATAACTGAAGAAATAATCCAAGATTCATGTTTATATGAAATAATTTCAGAACACTGACTATAAAATCAAAAGAGACAAATTGTAACAGAAACAATCATTGATCTACAATATGCATCTTCTAGTACCCTGACCAAAACCATATCCTGTTAATAAGTTATTCCTTACGGTTCATTCCAGCTTTAATTAGGAAGGCTGGTATGAAGCTGCCTCCTCCAGAGCCATACTGTACTCTGACAACAAGTACCATGAGTTCTCTAAGGTACCTTTTAATGAGCAACACAGAAATACAAGACACACATCAGTGGTGGCCTGAGAATCAATTACTTGATAACTATATCATTCAGAAGAATCACATACTCAATTAGAAAACCACTCAAACACCACATGCAGGCTCTGCCTGAATTACTAATAGAGACTGGTGGAGTGAGGCAGCTGGTACTGAGGATCCAACATCCCCACCACGTGCACACTGTCCTGTTTTAACTTGGTAGCTCCACTCTGGTCCCACTGACACGTCCATTTGCAGCTGCCACACATCAGGTGCATTTCTGGAGCACATTGCTCCAAAAGCACCCCACAGTATGGAACAAATCATAGGCAGTGGCAAAAATCATGGAATTTACTTTAAAAGTGCATTCCTGATCCCAGGTCATCCTAACACTGAAGGATCAGCACTCATACACCATACCAGCTTTTAAAGAAATTATGATACAGCACCAAGAGGAAAAGTTCTGGATTGACTTAAAAGACAATCTCTATGCTACTAACTAAATAGGTATTTAAAACACATAATTTGTTTGAAAGTTTAATAACTTAGAAATACAAATAAAACATACTCCCCAGCTGAAATCAAACTCTGTTTTTCATCTTTCTTCATCCGTGGCCGTCCCAGCTTGACTTTCAAGGGAGATGTTGGTGATTTTTGTGCTGCAGGCTGAATAAAATGTGCAAAAAGTTCTGTCTGCTTCAGGAGGAATTCAAACCTTTTTGCTCGATCTGCTTTCTGGTTTCCAAAGTGGAGAGAGAATTAAAAAGAAAAATCAATAACTTTTCTTCAGAAAGAAGTATTTTTATTAAAAAACAGAATTCAAACACTTGTGAGAACAAATTATATGAGGAAGGACAACACCATCTGCCTCCTGTTAGCCAACTCAAAAGGGCTACAAGCACCACGAAGAAGCTCTTGAGCTGCTTCAGCTTACAGCTAAGCATGGGTTGCTTTAGAGCACTCAGGTGTAATATGTGGTAGCTTAAATGGTCCTTCATGAATTCCACAGCAATCTGGAAGATGTGGTAGGACTTGTTAACCTCATCCCAGCAACTCATCTCCATTCAAAACTCAAAGATTAGTAAAACAACATCAAACCAGTTTACTTGTATAGATTAAGTCTGCACAGTGCAACCAGCAATGGAGAAGGGATGCTTTAAAGGACCAGCTACAACAGAGAAAAAAACTAAGGTCCTGATCTAGGATGAAATCCTAACCTTCAAGTCAGTGGCAAAACCTCATCAGCTTCAAGGCTATCAGGATTTAATCAAAGACAAGAATGTGGTGGCTCTGCTTTTAGCAGTATGACTGAACTAACAGCTACACCACTTCAATGCTACTTTCACTGAAGTTTGCTGTCAGATTTCAAATTTCAGTCGTTTCAGTTTTGCCATATAAACACAGCAGATGCACTTCACTACACCAACACAGCAAAAGATGTGTCCTTCTTTGTACTTAAAAGGCAACACATCACCATTTTTGAGTAAAAGATAATAAAATGCAAATGCTGTCTGACAGAACAATCAGTTTCTCTATGCATTTTCTAAGCATCAGGTAAAACCGTACTACTTATAGACATAAGTTATGTGAAAATAGCTTTATCTTGATATAAACTACAAAAGTGGAATCTAGTTCTGTTCCATAACGTTTCTAAGAAATATACAAACAAAAAAAGCTTTTCTGCAGGTAACTCACATGCAAGTGAAAGTGCTGTAGCAGCACAACACAAACCAGAGCAATCACGAGCCCGATGTGCAATACACGCTCTTGCCACCTGAGGGCAACGCATTTCTTCTCATAGTGCACCACTCCCAGAGAATAAACGTCTTTACAAAGATCGCCCAGAAAAAAACTACTATTATTCTTCCCTCGCTCTGAACCACTTGTGTAAATAACTTGAATTGTAAATATCAAGTAAAACTTCAGGAAAAAAAAAAATCTAAAGGGGAGCAAAGCTGTGGATGTTTATGCCCATATAGGATAAGAACATATCCATTCAGAGACTTTTATTAAACTAAACATACCAAGACTGTTTTGGCAAGATAACCATAGCTGCTAAAGTTCTACACTGAATGCCACAATACATGTTTTTGCCTGCAAGATTATTGGCTGGGTGTAAGCAGCATGTCCTGATAAACAGTAAAGGTCTAGCTCACGACTGCATAGTTGATAAGAGGTAGATTTTTTGAGACCCTTTGCCTCTAAAAACAACTAAACTAAGACTCATTTAGGAGGATGTAAATTCAGCATGTAAAACTGTGAAACTAAAATTTACTCAAGCCATTCTCAAACTCATCTCTTATGATGCCCTCCTTGGTTTCTGTCTCTTTCTAACACAGAAGTTACTGTTACTCTCTCCCCTCTCCAGTGTAACAAGCTCCCTTCACCTGTGTCATGGACAGATCCTCTATCTGCATTGTCATGGGATATATATTATGGGGCATATCAACATGTAAAACATTTATGGTTTTATATGAGAAGCAGGCAGCTTCAGTATTTCTCTGATTTCAGGAGTAGCTTAAGGATGCCTCTGACATGATTCAAGAGGTCATCAAATAAAACTAGCAGAGACAGATTCAAAAATCAAAAGAGTAGAGCTCTAAATATAAAATGTAATTGAACAGAAACTCCTTACCAGAGGAGGGTATGGATAACTAAACCTACATGAGGGGAAAGATGCAAACAGAAATACATGTGGGGGAAAAAAAATAAAAAAAAAAAAGCCCACAAAAATCCACTGACAATGACTACATATCAAAACCACAGCCTCCAACTCCAGAAAGCATGCACACAAACCCACTTGGAGGAGTAAAGCAGTATTTAACAGAACTACCACTGCCTGCTTCCTCTGTTCTCATGTTCTTCATTGAATACCCACTGCCAGCCTCTTTGAGAAACACCACACTGGACTAGACATTTCAGTGAATCTTTATTTGCTTTTCTTATGTGACACATCCAGTCTGCAATAACTCCCTGTAACTGTGCTGATCTAGTTCAAGCCACAAACAAACATCATAAAAAGCTACAGCATGTTTTGCCATGAAAACACTCACCATCTTCTCTTCATATTCTGGGTCAACTTCTTTCTCGGGTCTAGCTGCCTTTGGAGGGAGTTTGAGCTGGAATGGGGGATCATTTTTCTGGAATTCAAATTTGAAACACTGAATAAATATCAGATTTACTAAAGCAAGAAGGTACCAAACTGAACAAACTTACACACTGCATGATAAGTGTGCTACTTTAAAAAAAATAGTATTTCAAAATTGTGACTGTATTAATCATACTAATTCACCCAAAAGAGTACCTGGTATCCATGACAAAACTAAAGAGATATGACCAGATAAATATAAGCTGAAGATTTGTCTCATCCTCCTGCTTATCTCTACAAACAGGATTAAAGTTGAAAGCAATGAAAATAAAGTGCTCAAAGAGGATGAACTTAAATCGTTCACAGAGATCTTGTTTAAATGAGCAAAGACTGCTACAGAAAACCTTACTTACTGTAAATTAATTAAATTTAAGAAACTACCAAAAATGGCTGACTTCTTTAGTTTAGGAGATTCATTTCTCTCTTCAACTGGGAAACTCAAAGCAATTC